CTCAGGTGATGGTGAGGTAATGTACTGAAGTTCTGTATACTATATCTCTTGGATACTCCTTGGTTACTCCAGATGTGATTCCTATATAAGCTCTGTTTGATTCACAATAAACATGCATTGGCTCATAAACCTCTGCATCCCCTGTGTCTTGATTTCTGTCTGTCGGGGTCCCCAAGCCCACCAGGCTTGAATTGTGGTCACTGTACTGTGACAAATGTCAAGATTGGAAGACAAAGTGGATGAACTACTCAAGCAAAGATTATGAAAAATTTAAGAAAACACAAGAAAGGAAGAGACAGGAATTGTGTGACACCATAAAAAGACCAAACTTACACATCATAGGCATAGAGGAAGCAGAAAAATCTCAGGATAATGGTATGGACCAGATCTTCAAAAGGAGTGTAGAAGAAAATTTCCCAAAATTAAAGACACGCCCATACAAATACAAGAAGCATACAGAACACCAAACAGACAAGACCAGAAAAGAAACTCTCCATAGCACATCATAGTAAAAACATTAACAGAACAAAGAGACATTACTGAAAGCTGCAAAAGAAAAACAACGTCACATATAAAGGAAAAAACATCAGGATCACAGCTGACTTTTCAGTGCAAACTATGAAAGCCAGAAGAGCTTGGACCAAAGTGTTCCATTTTAAATGAGCACAGATGCCAACCAAGATTACTATACCCAGCCAAAATGTCTATCAAAGTCAAAGGGGAAAGAAAAATCTTCCATGACAGTCTACAAAACCAGCCCTTCAGGGAGTTCTGGAAGCAATACAAAGAGCTGAAGAAAGGAATGACTATACCCAAGGGGTTGCAGAAATTCAATGAAGGTATAACTGTGGAAAAGTACAGCTATAACAAGAATGAGAACAGAAATAAAAATGACAGGATTAGCACATCTTTCATTAACATCTTTAAATATTAATGGACTGAACTCCTGAGTCAAAAGACAGACTAGGTGAATTGATTAAGAAACAAAACCCAGCCTTTTGTTTTCTGCAAGAAACTCATCTCACTTTCAAGGATAGGCACTATCTTAAGGTGAAAGGATGGAAAAAAATATACCAAGCAAATGGTACTAAGAAAAAAGCAGGCATTGCAATTCTAATATCTGACAAAATAGACTTTAAGA